TGGCCAATGCAGGTCCAAACTTTGTGTATTAAGTTATGACTAGTGACGAAACATTAGGTTATCTCTACACTCTACGACCATCTAGCAAGTTTGTGCCACTCGGTTTGTGGTACACGGCCGACAATCGACTAAGTAGAATCTACACAAAACGTGCTTACCAATGCTGCACTACGGATCGTCAGCTATACACCCACTACCGATATGCCCTCCCAAGGAGTCGTACTTCAAGCTGAATTTCCTGCTGGCGATCACGCCTAATGTCTACAGAAACCGTTTACCGTTTTTTTTGTAAATAAAATTATTGGATTACCCAGGTACTGCGGAATAAAATACAGAGCACAACCAGTATTTTCAAGTGAAAAGACTCATTCAGTGCAAACAAACGTTTAGTGACAAGCTACAAGATTGTGTCTTGGCTCAGTTCCATATCAATCGTTCCAGTGTCAGACAGTCGTTCCTTGTTCACAGTTCCAATTCTCAAAGATTCCCTTGTCCAAACACACGGGCTCCAGCCTGGGTTTGACAAGCAAAAAAGGAAACTGCCTCGAAACCTGTTTTGCCTGGCTTGGTGACTCGTAATGCTGCTTGTGTTGCGCCGCCAAGACTGTATTATAATTTTGTCGCATGGATTACTTTGCTATTGTGATTTGTAATGAATAGCAGGCTGTCGAAAACTGCTGCAGTGCACCATACAATGCTAACTATCAATACTTAACTATCAAAACTATCAAGACAAAAAATACACACGGCAAACGGTTTGCATTGATTTTGAGAAGTGAGAATGGACTGCGCATTATGGTAGTTCAGATAGGCTATGTTGTTACTTTTTTAGTGATATAAATAATACATTATGTATCATCATATAGCTTCACGAGGTTGTTACCTACTTAAAACAGTTCACAGATTAGATCACCAATTATATTGTCAGTGCAGCTATGATCAGCTAACTAAGATTAGCTGGCTTTAGTCAGTCATTTGGGAAGTCCAATGATCAAGGACAGCTGGGTTCAGTTTTGAATAATCAAAAAGCTACTGGACTTTTCTCATGATCGAACCGACAACCTTTTGATTGTCCTACTCACCCTTTTTTCAGCTTCCCAGCTGGTGTTTACAATTTAATATTATTTTTGTGATTTACATTTGCACAATGTTCGGTTACATTGTAGCATAGAAAAAAGAATTCGGCTGTCGGTCTACTGTATATTGAATTCATTTTGTCTATGATTGTATTTACCTACTCCCATATAATTAAATCTGTTTGTTAGCCAAACACCACCCTAACCAAAACTGTGTACAGTGTCGAACCCAGCCACACCAAAATGTTTTAAGTAGCCCCACATCAACCCTCATTTTGACCTCTAACAGATGTGATTTGCCGTTTGTCCCACATCCCTCATGTCGACAGCCCTTGTAATTGTCTGGGACAAACCCAGTTTCGGTTTAAATCTTTCACCCCCCGAGGTCTAATTTAATCACGTGTTAGCGGAGATTATATCTTCAACCCCTACATGGTCTTTCCATCCCTTCAAAAGAGCAAAAGAGCCCTTAGGGGACGGTACCAGTAGACTTCCTGGGTGCTTTCCGCTACCCCGGGTGCAATAGTGTCGGCCGACCATTTATTTGATTGACTTGACACCCGATATGGCTACCATTACCATTTTTATGAGGCAGAACTTTACGGCTTTAAACAAATAAGTTTTTTGAGGTTTTAAAAAACTTAACTAGTCAAAAGGTAGACTATCTGTCGGCAAAGCCTTAATGATTTGAACAAATATTGTCTTTAATCCCACTGATATGTTTGTAAAATAATTTGAATCTAGTTTTGCCTGTAGGATATATTCTAAAATATCCTAAGCTCTTTCAAAAATTCTTCAGAAATTTCCTCATAAAAATAATGATAATACTTATTTATTGGATTCTATTGCATTGTATAGTGGATAATGAGTTGTATAGTGATTGTCTTTCATCAGTCACAACAAATGCTGAAGTCTGCAATTTTATAAGTAGAGATAATACTTATCTATCACACATACAGAGATAATAAGGTCTGCTCGAGGGTTATGTGATAATGTTTTATCATAATATTTAAGATGAAGTATGAATAAAAATATTTCCAACTTGTGCTGTGCATTAAAACACTTTAAGTCCACAAAATTTTCCAAACGACGTGTTTCAATATAAAGTTCAAATAAATACCTGTATACGAATTCATATGACATATTTTCGCGGCCACAACGACTGAATTTTTATTCTAAGTTACAGTATTTATGTGATGGACAGTTCTATGTGGTTTGAGGTTATACACGGTTGTTATCGTTTATAGTAGGTACGAACGAACTCTATGTTGTGTTGTGTTTTATTTTGTGTGTAGTAATACTTTCTTACTAGAAAGTTTATTTGTGTGAGTGGATTTGCAATATTGATCTAACTCTCTATATATTATTATAACGTAAATTGGATAGAACACGAAGGTATTGGCCTATTGTTTCTGTATAAGCGTAAATTTGATCAACCTTTATGGCCTTAAAAAATCGTCTAAAAGCCAATCTGTTTCAGCACTTTTTCAACTTCAGTATGTATCGCGGTCATGAGCAAATTTAATTGGTGCGAATAAAGTGCATTTAAGCGATTTCCTTTCCTTTTTACGAATAGTAATTGGCTGTTTATGACAGATACATTAATTGTCGCTAGAGTGTGTAGGATTCTCGACGTAGGTGCCAAGTCAACGAGTGCAACAGAGAGAGTACTGAATGCAAGTACTGAGGTCAATGACCTAACCAAACAACCTGTTGCAAACATCTGCTGTTTTAATACCTCTGTTTTATTGCTCGTTGCACAAGAAAAACAATTATCGTCATTAAAATATTACCTTCGGAGCACAGGTTCTCTTGCAAAAACCTGACTGATGAATTATTTACTTGGAGTAACACGCCCTCCTCAAAAATGTCAGACGCCTCTTGTAGTTTAGGTGTGCGGGGTTTGGTTTACAAGACACACATTTATCTCGGTCATAATAGAAACATGTCACTTAAGTATAATTGTAATCTTAGGATAAACATTTCCATGCAGATACCTCCTAAAATTACACAAAAACACATTTTTTGGGTATCTCTTGTATATAACAACTCCTTACGTGATATTCGCCTAAAAAAGAGTTCAAACGTTCAATAATTAGTAGTTGTGTGCTGAATAAATTATACCTTAAGACAGCAAGGAACACCGGTGCGTATTTCAAGGTGAGTAGACAATATATCAAGAGATGATCTATCTAGCTTTGTTAATGACTACGATCTATTCCGATTCTTTAGCTAGGATCATTGATTAAAAGCCCGCTGTTCAGGACAGTTGGACCTATAGTTTTGAACCAACAAAAACTAGTGTCTTTTCTCAGGATCGAACCGGCAACCTTGAGATTATTAAGTAATGATGAGTGTACAACAGTAGATTAAATTCTACAACAGTTAACTTGTTTTACACGTCGATATAAAAACAATAGTTTGAAACGGATTTTGAAATATTATGTTCCGAAAGATTGTTGGGTAAATACTAGTTGAATCTGTAAAATATAAAAGTGTATGTAGCTCACAGTAGGCCTACTCTCCTATAACTGAAATAGTAACCTAGCCTGCTCATCGAGGTAGACTTCTAGTCTACCTCGATGAGCCTGCTAAGTTAGTACCTTTTAAAGGATCGAAACTGGGACCATTTCTTCTTGATTATTTCAACTTTGATAAAGAATACTGACTTTCTAGAAGATACGCCAGATAGCCAGCGTAGATGCACAGGAAACTACGTCTCCGTAGTGGACAGCAGTTGCGTAGTTCCCGCTACGCTTCGTGCATGCGTGTTAACCCAACCGGCATATTTTCCCTTGATTGTTAGTTGGATGGCTTTATTATATCAGACTGGTTGTTATCACGAATGTTTTGTCTCTGAAATCCCACGATGAAATGGGCTGCAATAATTACATTCGTTTCTCAAGTGAGTCTATTCTGGTTATGTCTTTTTAATTATAGATTTCTATGGTGTTTTTGTGACCGGATTGGAAAATACTGTATAATTATCAAAACTGGGTTGTGTTATTCTAGTTTCTTTGTTTGTTTGTATTTGTGTATAATGTAGGCGGTAGAGAATATCTTTTGTCGACTTACTTGTCTAAAATTTAGTTGAAAACGTGTTAAGCTTTCGTTGATTACAATAATACAAGATAGATAATACTGTATTAAAGTAGTAATTAGTTGTACCCATGCACATTTTAAAGGAAATTTTATCATCAATACTTAATGCTTTTACCTTAACGAAAAATGTAACTAACAATAAACTCTACGGTCTATAAATAAAAAATCACATTCAGATTTTCATATGAATTTAATAAAAAATATTTACACTTTACAAAACGCAAGACTTAACTATCGCGTAGGAATATCAAAACTTAAATCTAAGGACTATTTTTAAGGAATGCTCTTGTTTGAACAATCGTGGAATGAGTGGTGAAAAACTGCGAAGGTGTGAAATAAAACCAGAAAAAAACAACTTAACTTTTCTTAGCCCTTACCAAGTTGTGAAATAAACCAACACACTTTACGAGTACTAAGTTAATTATCACGTAGAAATATCAAAACATAAATCTAAGGACTATTCTTAGGAATGATTCTGTATGAACAACTTAACTTCAAAGTTCTGTAACAACTCAGGAAAAGGTAACTTTTCTTAGTCCTTCTTGAGGCAAATTGCGAAAAACCATAAGAACAAAATATATAACGAACAAATTATTCCTTACTAACAATCAGTCTTCACAAAAGAAAACTAAGGCCTAACTATACTCAACAATCTACCTTGTACTAAAGTAAAAAAAGGTTAACAGTGTTTTGGCATTTGACGTAAATAAAAAACAATACAACTAGAAAAATATTTTTGTCGTTTGCCGCTAACTACAACAATAATTACATTGTATAAGAATTAAATAGAATTTTTCAACATCCTAAAGACTCAAAAAAGTCAACAAGCTCAATCTGGTTGATTGAATGTTCTCTATAACTATAAAGAATTAAGCCACAATATGGTTAGTGATACAATTTGAAGTTCCACAGAATGGTCCGCGATGAAGTTTGAAGTTTTATTAAATGACCAACAAAGTACAGTAGTTAAAGATTTCACAATATATGGTCAGAAATCTAAATTATACTTTACTTAATGATATTTATTACAAGTAGCGACACTCAAACAAATATTTATAAATAATAACAAATATTTATGGCTTTAGTGAAACTTCAAATTATGGTACCCTTAAGATTTAGCGTTGTTCAGACTTTCTACTTCGATGAACCCTTCAGCCACAGAAACACTTGTGAAATATTCAACCTAGCTTGCAGCATTTCTTGCTGAGTCAAAGAATCCAACATAGGCACATACGACATCATAAATGATTTGTTTCCGTATTTGTCTGCATCTGCATCAGGATCTTCCTTGATCGCTCGTTGAAGGACCACAGGAGATTCTGACACAGTCAATTCTTGCACAAGAGTGTCGGAAACGTTTAGATTTTCAGAGATTTTTCGTTTTCTACCTCTTCTTTTCTGAGGACCCGCGTTTTCTGGGATGGCCACGATTGTAGGTTGGTCTGGTTCGGTCATATTGTCCAAAAGATTGGAGAGCATTGTTTCTTCCTTGATCGCTCGTCGAATGACCACAGGAGATGTTGACACAGTCAATTCTTGCACAAGAGTCTCGGAAACGTTTGGATTTTCAGAGATTTTCCGTTTTCTACCTCTTCTTTTCTGAGGACCCTCGTTTTCTGGGATGGCCACGATTGTAGGTTGTTCTGGTTCGGTCATATTGCCCCAGAGATTGGAGAGCATTGTTTCCTCGCAATCTTCCTCCTCCCCACTGCTGGCTGAAGCTGAGGCGGGTAAATCAGGGTGGTCTCTGCCATGTTTGATGAATGGAGCTAGGAACATGAGGTCGTCAAAGAATATGTACTTCTTCTTGGTGTCGGTAGCTCCTGCTTCTGCGCAGATTACTCTGCGTTTGTAATCTCTTACGTAGTTGTCCCGCAGCGATTTCCATTTCTTGCTGAGCAGGTGAACTGGAAACATGAATATTGTTAGTTGAGGAACTTAAATACCTGTGAAAAAAATTGTGATGTTCTTACTGAGCTGGCGACCTGGAAACATAATGATTGTAGGCGAGGAACTTGAACACATGTGAAAAAGAAATTGTGATGTTCCTGCTGAGCAGGTACTGGAAACATGAATATTGTTAGTTTAGGAACATTAATAACTGTGAAAAAGAAATCGTGATGTTCTTGCTGAGCAGGTGAACTGGAAACATGAATATTGTTAGTTTGAAAAACTGTAATACCAGTAATACCGGTGAAAAGGAAATTGTGATATTCTTGCTGAGCAGGTAGGCTGTAAAAAGGAAGGTGCTACTCGAGGAACAGTGTGACGATGACAATTTATGGATTATTTATAATCAACTTCCTTGCATAGATGGGATAGAAAAAGAATTTTTTTATTATAAACATAGTTTATAGTTATAGTTTATGAACAACTTGGAAACTTTTGGGTCTTGTTGGAAATTGTAAAGCTATTTCTGGGTGGGTGAGCTGAAAATATTTGTTAGAACACTATTTTTTTTTTAATTCGCGTATATTCGCACTTTATACTTCTGTCTGCATCTGCATGCACTTGTAGGACGCGCGCTTCGGCCAATGACTGTTGGCTTGACTTGTGGAGGGGAGGGGTCCTTATGTAGGGAAGGCAAAAACTCCAGAAGGTTCTACTGTTATCTATTTCTGTTACGCTTAAAAGTTCAAGCTTCAAATATTCAATACTGAATACAAGATGTATTGACTAAAAAATGTACCTGTCTATGCAGGTATACGTGTAAAAGTGACAAATAAATATCTTATGTCTTATTGTACTCAACCTAAATGTTTGAGTAGCCTTTGAATGTAGCTTGAGCTTGAGCTGGACAAATCATCGGCCAGTAGGTCTACTGAATACTGTACTATATTGATTTAGGACAATTAATATAGTAAAACAGTTTTAAATGTAACACGCCCATTTCTTTAGATTAACACCTTAAGATAATAATATTCTATTTCGGAATCTATATAAATAAAATTAGAGTTTTGTCTGTACATTGCTTAGAATAATGAACTTTTTGGTTATTTTTACATTTCATAGGTCAGAGAAACCGAATCAAACCTTATCTCAATTTCTGTCTGTCTGTCTGTCTGTCTGTCTGTCTGTCTATCTGTCATTCTCTTGGTAACGCTAAAATACGCACTTTATTACAACTACTCCTCAATAACTATAGCACTGTCCCGCCTGAAACTTATTTTCCAAATACTATACATATATGAGATGGTTTTAGACGTATTTCATCGAATATGAGACAGTTAGATATTTAACAGTAAACCCTTGAAAATCAAGTTTTTGTCGATTTTTGACGTGGAATTTCTGGAAGCCCATGTTAACCTTATGAGAAATGAAATTATTGAATCTTAACAGCTGTTTCAATTAAACAAGTTGGTTCTGTTCTGTGATGTTCAATAGCATTAAAGTTACAAGGATTACCAACAGGGTGCAGCACTAGCACTATTATTTCTTTTACATTTATGACAACAGCTAATTTGCAACCTGGAGGCGAGTGAGCGTAGCGAACGAGCTAACCTGAAGGCAAGTGAGCGTAGCGAACGAGCTAACCTGAAGGAAAGTGAGCGCAGCGAACGAGCTCCAACATACAGGTGAGTGAGCGTAGCGAACGAACTTCAACCAGGACGTGATTGAGCCATGCAAACGAGATCAGATAGTAAAAATAAAAGTAAGCCTACCGTTATAGGATCGACCGGCAGACACAGAGGTAATTTAACCTTTTATTGATTGTCATACCGATCCGGAACAACAAAAAACAACATAAAATGAAGCTATGTATAATAGTTTGGCCAGCATATCTTAAAATATGCAAACCAACTGCTGTTCGTTATATAAGAAGGTTTCAACTGAATATTATAAGATCCCCGTGCGTAGAACGGGTACACAGCTAGTATTATCTGAAAACACAAGGTCCATAGTTTAAGTCTGATTACCTAAAGGCAATTAAGTCACAGCAAGTAGCGTCATCAAATGACTAACAACACAATAGGCTAAGCTACTCGTATGTAATTTGTAAACAATCTGTTTGAAGTTACAAAATACGACAACGTCCACCGATCAAGTAAACAACCAAGAAAAAGTCCTAAATTAACTTAATGGTCCTATAATAAATCGAAAGCGTTAACGACGATTATTGTTGAAACATATAGTTTAGAAACCACTACACAAAAAATAAATCTGTGGTACGAGAATCAGAGTTATGGTAAATTCCTAGATTACTTAAACTAGCTAAATTCAAATCATAAAAAGAAAATCCAAATTATTGGTAATGCTTAGTCTAAGGCTAAGTTAACATTAAAATGATTGAATACAGGTCGATTCACACATATCAGCTATGGCACGTCACAGGTCAGTCACATCAGTCAAAGTCACTTCACAGTCAACTTAGTCAGTTGCTTTGCCGGCGGCGGCGTCCGCCAGTTAATTTTAGATTTCTTCCCACCAATATTTTAGGATTATTTGGTCGCCTGACTGACGTTTTTGAGGTTAGAAAATAGTGTTTTTGTTATTTAAATGATTGTGTTTATATTTTAAGTACTGTTTGTAACAACAATCAACAAGATGGACGATCCAAATTTGATAGAATATTGTGTTTTACAAATTCTTGACTGTAAGATCACTGTGAATTCAGTGACGGAAAACTGACTGAAACATACTGACGGACAATTGACTTAGAAATTGCGGATGCAACTGAGACCACAGAAAACATATTACGGTTATAGTAATATTTTTTCTGTGCTGAGACTGAAAACTGTGGATGGACTAACGGAACTGACAGTTCGGAATGTTCGGATTGAAATTTTGCTGATATTTACCTTCCTTTTACCTTCTCCCTGCTCGGTTCGGGATATTGATCGGGGAAAAGAGGATAGTGTGTCACCACCTTAAGCCTGACAAAAATTGGACAAAAATCCATGCTTGTTTTAAGGTATGTTTAATCTATGGTACATCGGACCAATCTTTTCTTTGGTCTTTCGCGAAAAACCGCCTCCAGAGCGCTCGTCTCCCTGCTCGGCCTGATGTCTGGTTCGCCGTCTGGATCGGTGTACGGACCTCTGCCCTGACATACTATCAAACATGCTCTCTTCGACCTCCTTTATCCCTGCTCGGTTCGGGGTCTTGATCGGGGTAAAGATCGATAGGGTGTCGCCGTCTTTAATTATCAAGAAAGACCGCGATTGATCAAGAGACTGCAAAAGCATTTTTGAAATAGTATTTTTCAGTGTTTCCCCAGTGTTTGTCTGGAGATAACATAAACTAACAACTTTATCTAATCAAAGGAGCTAATGCAGTCAACGTCGTTTCGTCCAATACATATTACCCGTTGATACAACCGGATATCATAGACCCTTTCGAGTATCGAGTGAGTATCGATACAACAACCGAACAACTGACACGATAAACCAGATACATCGATACTAAACAGGCGAGTTTTCCATGTTTCTATCGATACAAAAACTGGATGGCTCGATACGAATTCAACCGAATTTAAAAGTCAGTATCCGGTCTCACAAATACTACAAACAAACATACCTCTAGCTACCCTATTGCTATCAGGGTGGGTGTTCCAATCGTCGAAAAGCTCTTGTCCGATCTCTTCCCATAACTTCATTTTGATTTCCGCGTCCCGATACTCCTTCATCGACATGTCGTACAACGACGGCCGCGCTTTCACACATTCGATAAACTTCTCGACGTTCAGGTTCAGCTTCATCTTCATCGTGGCACGACACAACGCGCGGTTGAACACAGAACAATATAGTTTCTGCCAACAGAAAAGCGGCGACATGTGGTTGTACTCGAGCGTCAGCAACGCACTGTGGCGTTGGCGTTGGCGTTGGATAGGTTGGCAGTATTGTAGCGTAGCGCTCACCGCCGCTAGCGCTCGACGACAAATTAGGTTGGCAACGCTGACGCTGCAATGCACGTGACGCCGGACAGCGACAGCGAGCTGAGGCGAGTCTCGCTTCTACGAATTCGGTTGCGATTTTACTGTTTTAACAGGTGGCGAGGAAACTAGGTTAAAAGCCTAACCTTTGAACTTTTTCCAATAGGCAATGATAAAACTCAATGCGTGAGTGACAGATTTGGGTGTGTTAAAACTAAATATCGTGCCATTTAAGATGTAAACGCCCCAATACATAGGTCTAATAAAAACACGGAATGAAGACAGGGAAAAGATTTATTATTTCTCTGTGATAGAACTGTATACAAATTTACAAGAAGTAGGACTCAATCAGACCCTATATACTGTACCTAGAAACCAAAAACTGCATGATTCTACGCAATGTAGGCCTACAGACAAAATGATATTTTATTTACAGTATATAGATATGGAATACCAGGCCTATGCCATCTATCTATCTCAGAGAGCACAGGCTGTGCTCTCTGAGATAGATAGATGGCATAGGCCTGGTATTTAGTAACTACTCAAAATTACAGTATTCTATACTGCATAGTAAACTTCTTCTGAAAAATTGCCTCTTAATGTTGCCACAATATTCGCATTTTACAAGTTTGAAAAGAATGATTATAGGACTAATGATTAATATTATGTAGAATTTCATAGGCACCCTTTTTTTGCACCTAGGTAGCTTTAGTTTATGTCAGTGCGCTTGATCACCTAAATTGAAAATAATAGCCTATATTTTCTTATTTTGAATACATTTGTTTGTTTTAACTTCATACGTTTTCAGTGAGGGGGCGATCCTAAACCCTGGTCTTGTTTGTTTATGTCTTAGATAGTATCATTTGAAAACTCAATAGAAAATAACATCTGGGTCCAAATGACTACTGTTACCTGTACAGTACACAATATCAAACTTGGATACAAACTGTAACTGTTACCAAGTTGCCTGGTTACAGTATCAAGCTCTAACAAGCTACAAGTTACAAGTTACCCACATCGGCTGATTGTCGGCCTAACTGCTTGTTTTGGGTTTAATCGCAACAGAAGAGGTAATTCAATTAAGAACCTCGAGATTTTAGGGAAGTTTCCCCTTCGGGGGTTTCACCCCTCTCCAACTACTTGCTCACCCTAGCCCTCGTGCTTAGGGTGACTTAGGGATTTTAAATTTCAGGAAATTGCTTGGAACTTAAAAGGGAGTGTTTTGTGAAAATAGCTAGGTTTCTACACATTTTGGTTATCTGGAATAACCGAATTTAAGATGAACCCAAAAGTGAAAATTTAAGTTAGTATATACCATAAAAAGTAGTAAATTGCTTAAAACTAGAAAGGAAATATTTTGTGTGGTTATAATTACATTGAACTATGTTTTGGTCTAGATGTTTAAAGTATTGTAGTTTTTATACTTTTTAGTATTCAAAAAAAAGTAAATTTCAATGGAATTCAAAATTTTAAATTGAGTGTATTCTAGTTATTTAATTGTGCAAAGTAGTAAATTGCTTAGAACCAGAAAAGAAAATGTTTTTTAATGTTTATTAAATAAAATATTTACATTACTTTAAATATAAATACACAATTCGTGCACTCATATGATAAAAGCACAAATTATATAAGTGTTTGAAAAAATAACATCAAATTATTTACTTACTAATAATTTATTTATTTAATAATTAATTAATTTACTCATTACATACCAAAATTCATAGTGAGTCCAAAATTTCATCAGCACTAGTTTCATATCTGATATGGATAAATCCCCAAGAAAAATCCTATCTAATATAAATCCAATAAATGAAATAATAAAAAATGTTACAAACAACATGTAAACTTCTCAGGTAAGGCCAGTTGTGATAAATCTGTCGAAAGAAAACCAAGGAAAACCTTGTAGAGAGTGAAAAGTGGCTAAAGGAGCTTGGGAAATATAAAGTCAGTCTCTCTCTGAGGAGGTAAAAAAGGGAGAAAATACCTCATCCTTTTATAGCTTCCTTCGCTCGAGTGGACAAGGAATCTTAGGGCGGATATTAAAGAGAATTTATCTTAGGGGGGTTCTTTCATTCTCTCCCCCTTCACATCCTACATCGAGGACTGTTTAGAACATTGCGATTGACATAAAGGATTCGTTTCAACTTTGCTCATTTATTAAGTATATTTTCTTATGTAAAGATTATTCGGTCTTAGGAGTATTTATAAATTAATTATGAGAGGCATATAAAGGGTGATTGAGAGAGACACTATTTATGATGTTAAATCAGTAATTAGAGATTTGATATTTTGCATTCTCTTTTAAACTGTATTGACGTGTTTAAAAAATGTTACTTGTTTTATCAATGATAGATTGGTGATATTTTTACATCTATAAATCTAGAATTGAGTGACCCTTTGGATTGTTGATACTTTATACTCAAATGTATATTGGGGTGGATCTTTGAATAATCAATAACAAAGCATTATATTGGGCGGATGAAATTTAAGACGGATTGTCTGTGTGTACATTACACTTGTTGTGGCCTGTTTTGACTTAATTGCTTTTTCCCACTTGACCTTACATTCACGTCCTATGAATTAGCAAAAATCAGGTAACGTATAATGTTTGTATTCACCCACAAGTTATTCTGTAGAAATGCTAAGATACAATAGTGTTTTATCAACATTTCTAATGTCATGAACGATTAATGTCGTCATTATATTACATTAAAACGTGTTTGTCACGTTTTATTTTCAGGTAACACTAATTACACGATGTATGCAACACCAGTGTGTAACCCGCCTAAAAACAGTGTGCCTGAGAAAAGTTAGTTGCTTTCTAATGATTTGATACTATATTAGAACCATACTTGGTTTGGGTTTTTAATCAATTTTCGTGACCGATACAGCTGGTAGTCAGTAACAAAGCTTAAATCATCACACTTCATTCTACACTCATCCTTCACTCATATGGAAGAAATACGCACCTAGGTGGCGTCCCTAATTAATTGGCAACCATACAAATTAAAAATATTAGTAATTTATGCAAACATTGACAAAATGATCCCAACCAAGGATAAAATCATTCCTAATATCAACTAAAGAATTTAAAGACGACCCGGCAAGTTTCACAGTATCCGGTAGGCCGTGGCGACATCGGTGGAAGAGCTCGAGGAGGATATCCCAGGATATTTGAGAGCGTTTCCATGTTTAGATACACTAATGACTTTCCCCTTCCCCTTCCATCCTCCAAGCCACCTTCGCTGAGTAACTCCAATCTTATCTTAATGTGCAGACTAGGAGAAGTTTTGACTGGATTGCTTCTGTCTGGTGAAGTAATGGTTAGGTGTGTTCATAATACTACATTATGCGAGGAGTATTTTTTTCATTTAAAAGCTTGGAACGTTATATGAGTGTGGGCATTTTACTTATATATGTAACAATTTCTATGTTCGTTATAGGTCCACTTAGCTGTAGGTTAATGTTCTTCTCGTAGATAACGACTATGCCTTGGAAGAAGGTCCCTCGTACCTTCGAATCCTCGTATTTAAATTGGAAAACAATTTAAACGTTTTTCAAGCAGATTAAGCAACCAAAACTGCTCTTTGTAGATTTTGTATTATCATACCACATAAATAAATAGCACAAAAGTGGTGTATATTCAGTGATACCATTGACTTTGGACACAACAGACATCACACCTTTATGGAACAGATTTGATTCAAAGATAAAATAATTTATTGAACCTCCCTCCTTCAATAGTGCCCCCTCTTGATGCTCCCTACATTTTTAAATTTGTTCAAAGTATGATTTAATTTCAAAAATCTTTATAGTAACGAAAGCTGTTATACACATTTGTACAGTTTTAACGTGGAAATAGAATGTACACATCTTCGCCTCAGTAGCAGATGAATTAACATTACCAACAGTCGTTAGTTTTTACAGAGAGCAGCATTTCCTCGGTTTAGCGGCAACTTCTGCACTAAACGTAATGTCTGGCTTAACAGCTGTTTTACTGCCTACCCCACCCCCATCCAAAGTATATAGCAGCCGATATTGTTACTGTTATGACCGAGTCGTTGGAGACGTGTTATATTCACACATACAAGGGTTTACTCACACAGACATTTGTCCAGTTCAATGTTCATCAGGATTAAATACATTTTCGTAGCTATTTGGGGTACGGTGTTTGAATTACAATTCATTACACAATTTATTGAACGTAGAGTGTCAAAAGTAAATAACTAGGTATTAGAGATGAGCTTTTAGGCCGAAGGAACACTAGCAGAACTGAAGAAGTTATCAAATGGTATAATGATACAGTACTTTCGTTTGATAGCAAGAAGCTAGAAGTCAGAGAAAGGAAAATGATTGACGTAACATGATTCAAGTGTATTTTATATTTTCAGTAAAACAAGGTTCAAAATACAATACACGTTAGTTTTACTATCAGTTTACTTGTTGGTTTTAGGCCTACATGAACAATAACCGTTTTCTCTTTAGAATATGGTTGGATTATGATACTGGTGGTAGCGATTCTGAACTCAGGTACAATGTAGGATACCAGTTCTCCACCAAATAATGACCAAATGACCCTATCAAATGATCTAGCTCGACACAATCAGTAACAAGTAGGCCCGTGTCTTGCTATCAGTTGGCTGTAAAAAGTTACAACGTTATAAATCACTAATTTGGAATTGTATTTTAATTGAATCGTTTAAAAATGACGGCGGCATCAAAGACACTACAACTGTACTATTGTAGTTGTCTCAACCACGTTCTAGTTATACCAAAAGCAAAATAGAACACAGACTTCTAGCGACGGCGCGCCTCTCTACGCCAGACGGAAGGGCTAATTGCCCGGTTGGGTTGGTACCTCTGTCTAATTGCCCGGTTA